ATAAATCACATTCAATAAAATAAAAACAAAAACAAAAACAAAAACATAAAAACTAAACATCCAAAACATAAATATCCAACAAATACTAATATTTTGTGAATAATTAATTATTTGTAAATTTTTTTGTGAATATTTGTGAATAATTAATTATTTGTAAATTAATTATTAATTAATTATTTGTAAAAAAAATTTAGTATATTTTTTTTAGTTAATTAATCAGCATCAGAATCTATTTTTTTCTCCTAACAGATAAAGGAAAAAAAAAGACTAGTAGTACATTGTATTAATTAATTATTTGTGAATAATTATTTATTTGTAATTTTTTTTTCAGTGTATTTTTTTTAGTTAATTAATCAAAATCAGAATCAAAATCTATTTTTTTTAGTTTATGTTTTTTTTTTAGTTCATTATTTTGTATTTTTATTTTTTATTTTTTGTTTCTAACGGACTCAAAGGCATAATTGAAAAAAAAGGGGGGGGGGTGCGCGGCAAAACAAAGTAGTCAAACAGCCAAAAGAAGAAGAATAAGGAGAGAGAGAGAGAGAGAGAGTCCAAAAAAAAAAAAAAAAAAAAAAAAAAAAAAAAACAGAACCGAAGAAGAAGTTGAAGTAGAAGAAGAAGAAGATGGCGAAGAAGAAGAAGATGGTGAAGCATACCTGCGAAGTCGAAGAAGAAGTCGAGCAGTCCAGTCCAAGTCCAAGTCCAAGTCCAAGGCGAGGCGAGAGAGGAAGAGATGACACAGATTAGGGTTCAAGCGCAGCCGTTAGATCAAATCTAGTTGTTAGAAAATCAAGCGCGCCTAGACGTCTGCCTTGCGCCTCTGCCGCCTGGTTCAAGTTGCATCTAAGTCGCGCGCCTAACTCACGTCACCTCGCCTGGGACCTGTCCAGGCGCAAACAGTGCGCTTCGCTTCGCCTTGCGCCTAGGCGCGCTTTTCACAACACTGGATAGATCGTTTCCATTGTTGACCTGCCAGGCATAAACCTAAATTGATTTTCTGACACCTCTGTTATATTTCACAATCGGCGTTCTATCACACCCTCCCACACTTTCATTGTATGACGCATTAACTTGATTCCTCTATAGTTGTTGCAATTCTGGACATCTCCTTTATTTTTATAGATTGACACAAATACTCTTCCTCCACTCATCTGGTATGTTCTTAGTCAACAAAATTTTGCTAAACAACCTAGTCAACCAAGCAACCCCCTTTTTACCAAAATACTTCCAAGCTTCAACAGAGATATCATCTGGTCCTAAAGCCTTATTTGATTTCATCTTCTTAAGTGCAATCTCCACTTCAAAGTTCCTAATCCTGTGATAGAACCTATAGTCTTGGTTTATCGTATTACTGGCTATTTCTTCCCCTATTGCCGTACCTCCATGTTCCTCATTTAATAGTTTCTCAAAATAGTTCTTCCATCTTTCATTAATCTCTTCATCCCTCACCAATACCCTAGAATCCTCACTCTTGATGCACTTAACTTTTTCCTCTCCCGTATCTTAGCATGTTTGTAGACCCTCTTCTCTCCCCCCTTACTATCTAGTTTAGTATATAGGTTATCATAAGCTTTCAACTTAGCCTCTCTCACTACTTTCTTGACCTCCTTATTAGCCAATCTATAACTCTTAAGGTTTTCCTCAGTTCTATCATTTTTGTCACTTTTTAAATCACTCTTTTTTTGCCTTAACTACCACTTGAACCTCTTCCTTCTACCACCAAGTTTCCCTAGAACTAGGTCCCATTCATTTCGACTCTCCAAGCACTTTCCTTGAGATTCTCTTCATACAATTAGCTATCGAGTTCCACATAGTGTTAGCATCATCTTCCAAGTCCCAAGTACCTTCTGTGCCCACTCTATTATTAAATATTTCTAATTTATCTCCTTTCAGGTCCCACCATCTCGTCCGACGACGCCCACCATCCTTCCTAGCTTGGTATTGCCTTCTAAAACATAAATCTAGTACCAAAATCCTATGTTAAAAGGTCAGGTTCTCTCCAAGAATCACCTTACAATCATTGCATTTTAGACAATCCACTTTTCTCACTAAGAAGTAATCTATTTGGCTCTTAACTGACTCACTCTTAAAGGTTATCAAATGCCCCTCCCTCTTCTTATACATAGTATTGGCCACCACCAGATCAGAAGCCAACTCAAAATCTAAGTTACTCCCTTTAGTCTCATTTCTGTCACCAAAACAGTATCTACCATGCACCCTTTCATAGCCTAGTTTATCTATGCCTACATGGCCATTAAAATCTCCACCTATAACCAGGTTCTCTCCAACAGATATCTCCTGTAAGATCTCATCTATTTGCTCCCAAAAAACCCTCTTAGTCTGATCATCTAATCCTACTTGAGGGGCGTATGCACTAATAGCGTTCACTATATTCCCTTAAATAACTAGTTTAACTAACATAATCATATCCCCTTTCCTAATGACCGCTACTACATTCTCCACAAGACCCTTGGCAATTAAAATTTCTACCTCATTCCTACGTCTATTCTTACCACTATAATACAGTTTAAAACCGGTATCCTCAATTTACCTAACTTTCTCACCCGTCCACTTAGTTTCTTGTACGCAAGCTATACTAACTCTCCTCCTAATCATAACATTTACCAACTCCATCGTCTTACCAGTTAAGGTTCCTATATTCCAAGTGGTTATCCTAACCCTATAGTCTTGGACTAGCTTCTTTACCCAAGCTCGTCCTGGAAAAACGCGGGAACCCTTGCCTATTTTTCACAGCACCCATTTGACCTAGCATTACATATGACCAATTTGTGAGCAATCCCATCATGTAAATGCTTTTTTTTTGTTAACGAGTAAACTCCCCAAGTCATCCGCCGACTTTCAGAATCAACTACCTAATGTCAGTTTAACCGGTGTAGGACGAGGAGCAAACCTCGGGTGTGTATATTGACTCCACAACGCACACACCATTTAAGTCAGAGAGTGCACTTGTCAGGATTCGACTCCACACCCACGCCTTGGATACGGTTCGTCTAACACTTAGAGAGCCGTCCTAGGACCATTGCACCAAGCCCCTGGGTGTGTAGAACATGGGACTTCAAGACTTATGCCCCAAAGCCTTACCAAACCAAAGTGCCACAACCCCTTGGGTTTAATTATTCTGTTTCCAAGTTCTTAGTAGTCGAAACAAACAAATTATCCAATGGGTCTCTAAAACATATTAAAACTTTATCGCACACTCAAACGACAACAATCTATCAAATACACTAAGGCACATGAAACACATTGGGGGATATGAGTGAAATTTTTCCACACAAAAAATAACAGGTTTGAGAAACAGTGATATCTTTCTTCCTTCAGAAATAGAGTAACACATTGAAAATTTTGCAAATTTCACTTTTAACTCCCCATTACTCAAACCGTTAACTGTTTAAGGAAAAAGATCAAAATACCTAAGTACCTCATTGTGTAAATCACAGGCATATTTGTCTTATTCTTTATTGACTCAAAATGCATTTTACCCCTTGGTTGATTTATACAGGCATTTTTGTCAGTTTCTTTTTAGACCCTGATTTAATCCATGTGTGGTTGACTTTTTAACATTTGAATATGAACACATAACCTTGTCTGGGCACGTGTTTATTTTGACAAAATTTGACAGGGGCCAAACAGCAATTGAGTAAACCAAATCGAAATGAATCAAACCCATAAAGGGAAAGTGAAATTTGCTAAAATTAAAAGATACCCAATTGGAGTCCTAAGTAGTATGATTTGATGTGTACCTCAATGGGTTTCCTTGGTTGAATCCAAAGCTGGAGTTAACAATCATTCCGACCCAGAAGACAATGAAGACGACAAGGAACACCAAATCTCTGCATTTTCTGTGTTGTCTTATGATTCCACCCATTTGGTCACTTCCATCGCTTGACGGGTACCTCCCTATCACTCCTCCCAAAGAACCCCTCATATCTCCCCTCTCTCTGTCTCAAGCTCTGTTTGGTTTAGAGAGAGAGAGAGAGAGCGAGATGGGCATGAAAAAGCCAGCAAAGGGTTTCTAGGAACAACGACACTACAGATATAAATACTATGAAGCCAAAACTAGAGGCTTTTCCCAATATAAGCCATTTTTCCATTGTATTTTCAAAACTAGGCCAACTTCTGATGGAATTTCAAAACTAAGTTAAAGCCCCATTACTATTCGCGCTTTTACTGTTAGGAGCGCAAAAGTAGATGAACAGGAAAATCGCTATTACAAATAGCGACTTTGATTAAGAATTCGCTATTACAAATAGCGCTTCTAGCGTTAGTTTTTGTCTGGATAAAAATAAAATCGCTATTATCAATAGCGTTTTTTTGGCAACAAAATTTTGTGTGAAAAGCGCTGTTAAGAACAGCGTTTTTTATTGGGAAAAAAAGTAACACTATAAGCGCTATTCGTAACAGCGACTTATTAATCAAAGTCGCTATTTGTAATAGCGATTTTTCTGTTCATGTACCTTCGCGCTCCTAACAGTAAAAGCGCGAATAGTAATGGCGCTTTAGCTTAGTTTTGGCATTCCGTCAGAAGTTGGCCTAGTTTTGGAAATAGAATGTAAAAACGGCTTATATTGGGAAAAGACCCCCAAAACTAATCCCAAAAAATAATCTGTCCGTTTGGTTTGACTGTTTTGGATTAAGTTTTTTGAATTAATTTTTGTTTTTTTTTTCTTTGTTTTTAGTGAATATTTGGAAAATTTTAAATATATTTTTTTTGGATGTACTTTATTTATATGTATTTAAATAGTAAAAAATTTGTAAAAAAATATTTTAAAAAATTAATAAATACATAAAACTATAAAAATTATACTAAATTCTCGTATTTTTTTTATATATTTTTGATATTTAGTGAATTTTTAAAAAGTTTTTTTCATAATTTTTTTATTTTTTAGGTATAATTATGTTAGGTATGTCTAAAAATTTTAAAAATTGTTTAAAATATTAAAAAAATTCAGAAAAAACAAAAAAAAACACGGAAAATAAAAATATATAATTTTCTGAAAAGTGTTTTTAGAAAACTCTAACCAATAATTGATGGTTCAAATTTATTTTATTTACCAATCTCATATTTTATTAATTTAATTTACACTATATAAACACTTGACATAAATTGTGAGTTAAGCATGATTTCATAGCATTTTTGTTTAGGAAATATAAAGAAATTGGTCAGAATGCTATAAATAATTATATTTTTTAATTTTTTTATGAAATAATAATAAAAAATAAAGAAAAAATGTTACAAACAAAAAGATAAAAACTACACTTCTATACTGCTCTCAAAGAAAAAGTTTGTTTAGGAAGATAAATAGAGATAGTTCTGTATATATTAAGGGGTTGTTTGAGATGTTCTAAATAAGTATATTTTTTTGACTTTTTATAAAATATGAGTTGAGTTTGAAGTGATATGATAGACAGGCGATGCGACTTAAATAACTTGATGTGACTTAAATAGAATAGTGAATTTTTAACTTTTTAACTCTTTTTTTTTTTTGAAGATGCCAAATATTCTATTGATTAATTGATTTTAAGACACATTTTTTAATTTTTTATAAAAAAATATATAAAAAAATAAAGAAATTTTTTAATTTTTATAAAAAAATATAATAAAAAAATAAAGAAATAATGTTACTAACAAAAAGATAAAAACTACACTTTCATAGTGCTCAAAAAGAAAAAATTTGTTTAGGAAGATAGAGATAGTTCTGTATATATTTATACAGATTCAAATTCTATTGATTGATTGATTTTAAGATACGGTGATGTTTTGGAAAAATAATTAAAAGTTGACTTTTTAATTTTTTTTAATTTTTTATGAAAAAACGTAAAGGAATATAAGAGATGATGTGACTCAAAATAGATCAAAAGTTGAGAAGTGACTTGTAATCCACTTTCCAAAAAGAAATTAGTTTAGCAAGTAATTAAAACGTATTCATCATAATCTAAAGACCAGGTAGGTGGCTTAGCTGTTGGGTCGAATTTGAGTTGGCTCGGCTCGATTTATACTCATCAAGGAAGAGTTGGGATGCTTCTGTGAGTGTTCATGGCGGCTTGTATTGAGTGTATATATATATGTATATATATTTTATTGAACAGAGGAAATGCTAAACAAAAACAAAGCTAACCCCAAAGCTAAGCTATTCTAACCAAAACTTGTAGAGCATGAGGAGAGTGGGCGGCCCAATCAATGGAAAGACGGCTATGAAGGAAGGCCTGGGCCACCCAATGGGCAGCACCATTTGCTGCTCTTGGACACCAATGAAAAGAAACATTCCTTCGATCTGCCAACATCTTAATGTCGTTAACCACATTCCCAAGGGAGAACATCCTCAGACACACAGAGATGGATAACAGGTTTATTGTCACCTTCTACCTCCACCATCGAAAGATTATAATCTCACGGCAGGAAATTATATTTTTGGCGACTAAAAAAATTTAGTCACTAAAAGTTATGGAATTGGCGATCAAAAATTATGTTAGTCGGCAAAAGTACAAGATTGAGATATTAATTTTTTTAGTTGGCGTATATTGATTATTGGCAACTAAATAAAATTTAGTCGCTAAAAATGTTGCAATTGGGGACTGAAAAAATTTTTAGTCGGTAAAAATGCCACAATTGGCAACCAAAAAACTTTTTAGTCGTTGTATAATTAGTTTTGACTACTAAAATTATTTAATGAAAAACAAAAATTAACGTTTTATCTTTGGCGACCAAAAGTTTGGTTGGTAAAAATTTATTTTCAGCGACTAAATAAATATTTTAATCGCTGTATAGTTAGTTTTGGCTACTAAATAAATGAAAAACAAAAATTTACTTATTATTTTTGGTGACCAAAAGTTTGGTCGGTAAATATTTATTTTTGGAGACTGAAAAAATATTTTAGTCGGTAATTGTAATTAAAAGTTTTGGAGGGGGAATTTTGAATTTTGAAAGAATTACTAAATTATTTTTGGAGGGATTGATAAATTAATTACCGACCAATAAACATTTAGTCGGAGGAAATATGCCTTTTATTTCTTATTGGCAACTAAATAGTGGTTAGTCAGGGAAAAAGGAATAAATTAGGGTGTACAAACGAGAGAAGTTTTCTTTCATGCATGTCTCTCTAAGTCTCTCACGCCTCTGTCTCTCTCATGCTATTACTCTCTCTCTCTCACGCCGGTTGCCCTCATCCTGATATTGAATCTTTGTCGCTTTGTCTCCATCGCCGTCAGGTAAGGAGCATCACCGCCATTGAGCATCACTGTTGCACCACTGTCGATCCACTATTGGAGCATTACCCCAGGTATGTCCTCTCTATTTGGTCTTCTCTCTGTCTCTCTCTCTACCTCTCTTCCCCTAATATCTGTCTCTCTTTTCCACCATTTGGATTGTAATATAGTTTTGGGGAAGAAGCAAGTATAGAAATCACATTTGGTATTTCTAGTTTTCTTTTATTCGGAAACATGGCTTCATTGGGCATTCCATTGCAGAAAAATCTTGTCATAGCAATGTTCCAAACAATGGTGAACTTGAAGTGTAGAAACTAAATTAAGGGGCAACGACCAAATTGAAGCTAAATTGTTCAAAAAACAATAGGGATCAAAGTAAAATTTAGATGAAATTATTACGGTGAAAAGTATAATTTCGCCTATAGGTAAATAGATGTTACATATATGTGTATATAAATACATATATTCTTTAAAAAATATTTGATTTTTGTGCAGTTCCAGCAATGTATCCCATGGATGAAGAGCTTATAAAACTTTGCATGGTTAATCAAATGCAACAGTTAGGATTGGCTGAGTATTTTAATGAAGAGATTGAAGAAATTTTGTCAGAGGTTTGTTGGCAAAAATACTTTTTTGCAACAGTTTATGTGTCAATTATATTTGTTGTGTTTGTCCATAAATGTTATAAACTAACTTTTTTAGATTATTCAAAAATTTCAATTACAATATTTATAGGACATACAAGAAGCATGAGGCACAGATGAGAAATGGTAATTTAAATCCTCAAAAGATATACAAAGACTCTTTAGCATTTCGGCTCTTGCAGATGCATGGGTATAAAGTGACTCCATGTATGGCTCTCTCTCTCTCTCTCTCTCTTATAAAAATTACATTTGTAGTTCTTACATTTTATTTATTGTATTATTTTAATCTGTACACCTTTAACTTTTTTATTTTGCCTATTAATTTTAAGTTTTGTGTCGATTTGATTCAATTGACAACACCGACTAGAGTTTTTGAAAGGAAATGATCTGTAAGTTGTGCAAGTTTACCATTCTGCCCTAAAAACTTGACACATGCTACTTATGTCCTTATTTTCTATCAAAAATTCTAATAATTATAATCAATTGGACAAAGTAAAACAAAATCATAAATTCAGCCATTATCAAGCCAATTAAAATTACAGGTCTAAAATTACATGAGAACTACAGTATAAGAACTACTGGTATAATTTTCTCCTATTTTATATATATGTGTATATATGTCAAAATAACAAGTGAACTTTGTGTACAGGGAGCTTCTGTTGGTTTGTACATCATGAAGACATCTTGACTTACATTGAAAATAACAGTGGATGTTTCATGAGTGCAATGATCAGTGTTTATAGAGCTATCCCAAACCTTCAGGAAGTGGTAATGAAGGAAATATATTATATTTTTGGTCAATTTGATCCCCGTGATTAAATTGTGTCAATATGATTTTCAATATATAAAGAGTGTTCAATCCAATCTAACTTACTTAGTAGACACAATTTAAAATTTAAGGGATTAAATTAAAATATTTCTTATACATTGGAGACCAGATTTGGATTAAATGAATGAACGTATGGTGTTTCCTGCCGTAAAATGATATGAGCTCATGCCAATTTATAGGCTGAGCATGAGCTGAGTCTTCCATGGATTGCTAGAATGGATCATCTTGATCATAGGTTTTGGATTGAAGCAAATAATGTTGATGCTCCTTGGGTTGCAAAGGCCTCCTTCTATAGGTATACCAGACACTAAGTTCATTAACATGATCATTATTAGGCT